CTTCTGAGTAAAGGAAAATTAAGTCCAAAAACAAAGTTTGTAGTAATACTTTGTTTTTAGTTGAGAAACTTCAGGATCTCATCTCTGCTTTTAAAGCCACATTCCTGAAGTTTGCAGATATGTGCTCTCTGTCGCCCTCTCCAGGCATGCTTCGTAACGTCACTGTCGTAAAATCAAACACGTCTGTTGCGCGTTAGAGGCATGTTTACTGGCTTTTTTCCAACTTGCATGCCCAAACAAACACATTAAGCTGCGTTTCTGCATTAAATAAAGTTTTATCAGGACTATATAGCAACTTTATGCCCAACCAAATGCAATAACCCTGGTGAAATTATTTTTTACTTGCCTATCCATTAGCAGCAAGGCTAGGTCAGAGTCCGTAGTACATGCTGTTCTTTCAAGAAGAGCTCTCCAGCGAGGTAAAGCCAGTCCAATATTAACTCTGGTCTTTGCTCTTGCTCTATCACGTTCTCTTTTTCTTTTCCTAGATTCCTCTGATGAGGATTTCTAGCGTTCTTCTTCCATTGATCAAGTCTCTAAACCACGGGTCTACCACAGACATTTATAAGTGGAGGCCCCGTGGACTAGCGCAGCCGTAGTTGTTGGCCGCCATTTTAGATGGGTCTCCATTTGCCACCAGTGCATTAATGTCAACTAAGGAAGATGTTACCCAACTAAAACGCACATTTTATAAAGCATTTTCACAAAACCAGACACAAGTTGCTCACTCTGCATTTACTTTGGACTTTTCTACAGTCACTGCTTTGGAGAGTGAGACCCATCCATAAAGCAATACACAGTCAGGAGTTCCAGTCGCGGACTGCTGGTCAAAAACTGTATAGTGCGGTAAACAGATGTGGGACTCCATAACACATTCACAGCTCCGAAAATGATCATAATAGATGTATGCCACCAGAACTTTAAAAAACAAACCTTTTTTAAGGTGTAAAATTTGTGGAATTGGACTTTTAAGTTGGTGATGCGATTGTAGTCTTTGAGCGGGGCTCTTAGAAAGCACGGTATCTTGGTCTAACACCATGCTCTGATGGTGGAGTGCTGTCTCCATGTTGTAGTTGCCTCCAAAGTGAGAATGGTTCATGAATGATGGAAGAGACCAGGGAATCATAGCTTCCTCTGAAGTAACGAGAGCCTTGTTGTGGGTTTGCTGAGGTGAAAAAGGAGCTGAACTGGTCCTGTGGTCACCAGATCAGGGTTCTGGATCCAAGCAACTAAATATGGTGTTAGGACTAGAGCCGTTTGTCCTCCTCAATGAAAGGCGTCACATCAGGTGGTTCAGGAAACTGACCGGGATGTCTTCTGTTTGCCTTCCACTGGGAGAGACCCAGAATTCACCGAATGGATTATATATCCTCTCTGGCTAGGGAACACCTTGGGTTTTCCTTATGAGAGGTGAGGAAATGTCACTCGGGGGGACGAATGTCATGGTTTCCCTGTAAGAAAACCTTGACCTTGGATAATAGGAAGGAATTTTCAGTGAGTATTTTTTTTTCTTTATCACACACCTGTGCAGTAGCGGTTTTAGGCACGGGCAGGCAGGGCAGTTGCCCGGGGCGTCATTTTTTCATGACACCAAAGGGGCGCACAAGCGCTGAGTAAAAAATAAAAAAGAAAGAAATCCGCGCCGCACCGAGGTTTTCTATTATCGGTCATATATCACAGTGTCTGGATTGGAAACAGCAAGTTGTCACCCCCTGCAGCTGCAGGCGCTCCTGCTGACTGGGAGGGTTCAGGTGCTCCGTGTGTGTAAGAATAAGAGGAAGGGGAGGGGTGCGGCGGGGGAATTCACCTCTGGGCCTTTCCCAAATGAAATGAGTGGGTAGGGGCTGAATCAACTGTACTAACATGGCTAAAGTCAATCACACAAGGGCGTCAGTTTGTTTTCAGAATTGCTGGGGACAATAACCATACACTTGAGTGGGGTTTAAAAATTGCAATAAAGTAGGCTAGCACAGGGGTCGGCAATCCGGGGCTCTGGAGCCACATGCGGCTCTTCCATCCATCTGTGCTTGTAAAATAATGAATGGATATTTAAATAAAAAGCTTTATATTTTACTGCATTAATTTTACATCTGTATGCCAATTCTAAATGTAAAGATTGTCTGCGTAAACCTGAACAGGTCCAACCCGGTCTTACTGTGAGACCGGGTTGACGCGTCACGCTTGTGCGTAATCATAGGCGCTTCCTGAGCTGAAGAGGATGTGATTCTGGGATTCTCCTCAGACGCCACATTGGAGACAGGAACAAGCACTATTCAGCCAAAGTTTCATAATCAGGTTTGGCAGTGTGAGTGTCCTGTCACAGTGTCCCGATAGATAATGCGCCCTGGCTACTTGGCCAAGGGGTTGTCCCTTTGGCTGACTGGTTAGAGCGTATGACTCTCACCCGGGAGTCTGGGGATCGAAACGCACCCGGGCCCTCGTTTCATTTGACTGTTTATTTTGACAGATGAACTCAAGGATGTTGCTTGGTTTGAAAGAATTACCCCGACGCACACTGATGCGCATGGATGAGCTGACATTTTAATCGTTAACGCACATCGCGGAGGTAAAATATTCCCATCAGAACATCAGAGCTTTATACTGGACACTGTGTTCAGCGTGGCTCGGAGCGCCCACGGTGGACAGTGAGCTGAAGATCTGGGGTTCGCAGCGCAGCGCAGAACCGGCGCATGCGATAAGATTTCCTCCCACTGAAACAGTCTGGAAACCCGGTCTCTCTGAGGGATGTGTCACTTGGAAAAATGTTCTTTTTATGAAATTATGAAACTTTGGCTGAACAGCGCTTGTTCCCGTCTCTAATATGGAGACGCATGACGCGTAGAGACATTTGATTACACACAAAGTTTATGTGGAGCAGAAGCGGTCGGGCCACGGCAGGTGAAACATTCCTAGCCTACATGAAGTGAAACTGTTTAATTGTAACATTAATATGTTACTGGACACGCTGGTCTGGTTGGTTAGACCAGTGTTTGAAGTGGAAAACACACACACACACACGCACACGCACACACACACACACACACACACACACACACACACACACACACACACACACACCAATTAAAATAATGCTGATAGCGTGGACTAGAAGACAGGTGATGGTTTCATTTAAATGATGATCAGGCTGATGTAAAATGTAATCTCCATCCACATCCAGACACAATTATCCTCTATTCTGTCTCTAGTTGCTCTGCTCTTGTCTGGGCTGACGGAGCTGATGGTGCGCGCGACGCGCCTAACTAGCGGCTGATGCACATTTTACGCATTTGGAGAGGTGGGCTGGATGCTTTGCGTTTACTGGAAGACGGTCCACTTAACGCACGGGTGTAGACTACATATTAATGACAAATGAATGAAAATTAAATTGTGAGTTTTTACTTCATATTTTATAAATAAAAATGACGGGGGAACACATTTATGACATCTTTTTAAACTAAATTTTCTAGCGCGACCTGCCTGCTTCACTTAAGTCACTGCTTATTAAGGTCCGTCCAGAATTACCGTGGGAAACGGGTAATAATGGCTCTTTGATGGGAACAGGTTGCCGACCCCTGGTATAAGATCTGAGCTGGTAAAACAAAACTCCTCATCAGCAGGTGTTTTTGAAAGTGGGGGGGACACAGCTGCCAATCACAAATTTTGCCGGGGACATGTCCCCGGCGTCCCCGGTTAAAATGACGCCTATGCAATCACATCTTGATGTTCTTCCATTTAACGCACATTTCATTCATAAAATCATAAACACAGGCCTATCATTCTTTCAGGTTTTTCTGAATTGTGTGAAATGGCCGAATAAAAAAAGGAAAAACAAAACGATTTTGTGGTCACCCCCCCCCCCCCCCCCCCCCCCCCAATCAAGGTCGAATTGTTTAGTCCTGACTAAAGGAAACTTACTGAGTCAAGAGCCAAACAGAAGAGATGAACATAAAAAGGCTAAAACCACCAGGTGCCCGATTCAGGAAAAAAAAGAAAAAAAAAGGAGAAAGATAAAGGTATGTGCGCTCCCATGATGCATGTTTTCAATTTTTTGAACCAGTTAACTGGGATTTTAACGGTTAAATTCGGTCAACTAGTTGCTAACAGAGCTAATAGGGCTGAAATATTGAAACAAATATTCAAATGATTCGAAAAAATTCCTTGAATCGTTTTTTACTGATTCAAACTAGGATTTGCTAAATGCTCGCTGCAGCCTGTGGCCTGCCTGAACAACAACAAACACATGTTGATCATCTTCACATAATAATAAATAAAACAATTGTACAAGCAGAAGAAAACTCCCCAGTCACCACTAACTATCCAGTTTATTTATTGCAGATAGCTGCACTGATTATTTTTTACATGATTTGTTCTGTAAAAGTTGGCATTTTTGGTAGTCTACAGTTTTTTTTTTATGTCCGTGTAAATTACAATTTCAGAGGCAATTCTAAAATATTATGGATCATGATAAAGATCTACTGGAGATCTACCCCAACTTTTGGACTGCTCTGCCAGTCACTGTGGCTCAAGCTGAGAGGAGCTTTTCAAAACTTGATCAAGTCATACCTGAGGTCACCTATGTTTCAGGGGCAGCTCACTAACCTGGCTCTGATTAGTATCAATCACTCAGTAGGGGAGCAGATTTCATATGATGACATTTTTGATGACTTTGCATCAAGGTTGGGTTTTAATTTTAGTTTGTGTTTTCTGTTCTAAGTGCAGTGCTGTAGTGATTATCTTTAGTTTGTTATGTGTGAAATATTTTTGCTATTTAGAATATTTATTATATATTATGTTCATATATTCTTAATATTTAGTTATTGTTTGTTTTTGTATATTTGATTCTATATATTTTTATACAGTATATAATGTATATTGCTGTACATTCTGACAACTTTATAGTAATTAATATAAACATGTGCAACTTAGAAAAATTAATGTTCAATAGTTGTTCTAATAAAACATGCCTGTTTGTAGAAAACATGCATGTGTTCATGCAGGTGGGGTGGGGTGGGGGTGGGGGGGTCAAAGGGGGACCGGGAAGTAATTCCATGTAGAACAGCCACTGCACCTGTGTCACAACTCCTGCCGATACTCCAAAGCTGAAAACGTTGTGTTCAGATTGCTGGGCTGAAAAGGGTTGTAAATCTCTAGCTGGGCCTCATTTTATTCCTAATGAACAACACAAGACAGAGTGCACAAGTCCACATACTGTTGCTACTCCTACATTAGCCAAATTGTAAATATTTTTTTATTTCAACAGAAATCTTTCGCCATAGGACTCTTGGATCGGCCGATAGATCACCTTTGTTAAAGTATCTTAACTTAGCTAAATGCTGTAATAAAATACAAAAACATTCTAATGTTTGAGTCAATCTGAACTACCGACTATTGCCGTAACAAAACTTTAGCTCTGTGTTCTAGTGGAGTACGAGGCAGCTGCTGCGCTGTCAGGCAAGACGTATGGTAGATCCATCATGTCCTGAGTTGTCTAACAGAGTCCCTTATTGACTGAACAGAATCCCCAGAGAGCTCTGAAAATCAATCAGGCTTTGATTGGATGGTTACTGCCTGCCATGCCTCTGTGTGTGACACCTCTGTATGAGTTTGCGACGTGTGTGTGTGTGTGTGTGTGTGTGTGTGTGTGTGTGTGTGTGTGTGTGTGTGTGTGTGTGTGGCCTGTCATGTACTACAAATGACATATTGTTTTTACACCAGTATATTAATCATCTTGTATCGAATGAGGAGACTCTTGTGCGGCGCCTTGTGGCCTCTCTTATGTGTAAAATAGTCATGTGACAATATTTATTTTAAACCCTTTATCCCAGATCAGCGTAATACTGCACGGCGTTGTGGGAATTTTACAGCATTTGTGCCGCTATGCTTAGTAGTAATACTGCCGCAAAGTCGGACTTGTGAATGTATATCATGCTTTGGCGCAAAAGGAGGAGGTGCCGTGATCACATGGGGAGTTACTGCTGAGGTCCAGCCAGCAACTAAATTAAAAAAGCAAAGTAAACACAAGCAGTAACTTTCACTTTTGTTAACAGAACCAGCTGAGGTGATAAACTGGAGCGATGCAGTGCCACTCTTCATCAGAGCAGGTGTTTTTGTCTAAATTAAACGGAAGTCTGTGACAGTGCAGAGATCGCCCCCATACCCCCTTTATACCGCCACGGCGTACTGTTTTGTAAAAAATACAGGATTGCGCCACATTACCGCCACGGTCTAACCCCTTGTAAATGACCTAAGGCGCCCAGATGCCAACTCGCCGTTGCGGCAAATTGGCGACATTATTTTCTAAAAAAGGCTTTCATTGATGTTTATGTCAGGGTTTGGATTTTGGGGGAGCTAAGGGGAGCCTGGCTCCCCTGAAAGTGTTACAGGCTCCCCTAGAAGCCCTCAACTTACACAGAGGATCCAGTTTCAACCTATATTATGGTATTTATGTGGACGCTCGGTGTATCGAGAGTTCTTTTGAGTGGAGAAGATGGAGAACGCTGATTGTACATCCAGCGCACGGCCACAGTAACAAAGTGGTCGCCACCAAAATATGTTAGCACACGATCGCTCATGTCCGCTCATTCTCTGGTACTTTGTCGTTTATCTATGCATGACGCGCTGGGCTGCTGCGGAGCTCAGAACCCGTGCTCTGGCGTTGCCGCAAAATGCGCACTCTGAGGGTCGAGGCAAAATAGACCCCCTTCCCAGTCTCACAGGGCTTCCCCAAAAAAGCCACTGTGTACTGGTTGATGTTCACCTCTAAATCGCATGAAACTACAGTCAGACCTAGTTTTGCGTAACCTCCTCCCGGGACCTGGTGTGCTATCCTGGAGCCACACAGGCACACTTCCAGCCCTCACTACAGCTCCCTCCATGCTCCCATTTTGTGTGTCAGTGAGTGTGGCTTGTGTTACTGTATCTTCAGGACTTGCATCGTCTTCAGAGACTGTAGCTATCACTCTGGCGATACAATGCTTGGTGCATTGAGGTGATTTATATCCGTTGTGACTGGTTACCTCTCTTAGAACCCCCGGGCCACTGTCAGATAGCCCCTGACCCAGCTTCAGCTCCCTTCCCCTGGGCATGGCTTCTCATCCCAGAGTCTGGATCTTAGCCCACACAGTTTAATAGATGCCGGTTGAGTTATTGCACCGTATATTCAGCGTTTGACGGTTGAACATCAGAACCAGGTCATGCTTTAGGTTGGAGGTGGCCCTCACAATGCAAATACAAATAAAAGTTATTATTATTGTAAAAAATGATGCATTTTTACTTAAAAATACATCATTTAAAACTTGCATGCCTCTCCTGAACTGGAGTCAGAAACCGGCCCATCAGCAGACTTAAAAGTCTGGGTTCATTAGTTGCTAAGTAACGATCTTAAGCATCCCAGGCTTGATGATCACAGCTCATTGATCGTCGTTTCTCTCAGTCTACACCTGATATTGATCATATCGCACATGTGCACAAACACAGTACCGGCTGCAGCCTCATACTAACACTCAATAGGAAGGATTTGATTACTGATTATTGGTTCAGCTGCATATACCTACTTTTGTCCATGTTTGTATGCATTAAAATGTCCTCTCGTGCTGTGTGGTAGCCAGTGTTTGCAAGAAATGAGTGAAATGCCTAACTTCCAAAAGGTTCTCTTTTCTACTTGTCTGTCTTGTAAATTAGGGCTGAGCACTTCCTCTGCTTATGTACTGTCAGGGCTTGCTGAGCTTACGGTAATGATTATGGGTAATTCTGTGCTGGCAATCACTGATGTAGTCATAATCACAGTAAAGAAAGCCCCTGGGGGGTTATAACCAGAATAAGAACTCTCCCCTCTGTTATTTCCTTATGCTCTGCAGAAAATGTGCTCATAAATGGAGAAGCCTGAGAATTTTCTTCAGTCCGATTCAGGTTTTTCCAGAACCGCACCAGTAATGGTGTGTTGGCTTTGTTCAGTTTTGCTCTTTTTACTGTCTTGCAACAGGTCTGTACTGTCACGATGTGTGGCTGGAGATGGTGGACCATGTGTGGTGGTGGGTTCCGGAGGCAGAAGAGCAGGCACGGAGAACGTAAAAAAGAATTTAATTACAGAACGGGAACGGCAGGAACAAACACAACGGTGACAACAAATAACAATGATCTGACGAAGGAACAGGAGCAAAACATGTGGTAGAAATACACGAGGCTGATTGGGAACACATGGGCAGGTTAACGAGGGACAGGTGAAAACAATCTGGACTAATCGGGGCAGGAGAGAGACACACAGGCTGTGTCTCAATTCAGGGTCTGCATCCTACGTCGGCCGGATTCGTCGGCCGGTTACGTCACAGCGCCGCGACTAGGCCTGTCCCAATTCGAAGACTCCTTCAAATGCGGTCGACGAATGCGGCCTTCTTTTCGCCTGAATGAAGGATGGGTCGGGTGTATCCTTCAACAGGTAGCATTTCCCAAGATGCCTTGTGAGCCGGCCAGCAGAAAAACTTAAAAACAATGGCGGACAGTGAAGAGGGAGCTGTCGGAGAGGATTGCGCATATAAATGTCAGTATAAACTTTAAAACTGTTAGGTTAAGGACTTTTTGTGATACATGAACATTATTTTAGTTAGAAATGTTACAGTAAAAGTGCTTGTATTGCGGTCTCGGCTCGTATGTTCGGCCGCTCGGTGTCGTACTTCTCCCGCTACGTTTCCCCCTGATTTTAATAGAAGTTTGTATTTTAGGAACAAAAGAGAAAACCAGGGAAGTTATTAAGCTTAGGGCGGAGATGGACCACATGATCACCGGAGCAAAGTATTCGGCGGCTGTGGCATGGAGGTACAATAACATCTCATATTTTAAAAACTCGTTTGAGTTTATTTTTTCTGTGAAAACATGAAAGGAATAACCTGTTTCCTCTTTTCTCTTCCTGTTTCTTTTCTTACATGTTTGTTAAGACTATTCTGGAGAAAATGGGCATCCAGGGGAAGGTGCCAGCGATGACCAGCTTCTGGAGCTGATCAGGGAGGACATGAGGCTGCAGAGGGCCCAGGAGAGAAGGAAGGACTTTGACAGCTTTTTACTTTGCTAGAAAAAAAATGGTTAAGGAAGATTAAACATGTACATATAAAAGAAATATCTAAATAAAATCAGTTCTGCATTAAACTCTTGAATTTTATTTTTGTTTACAAATGAGAATTGTTTACTAGAGGGTATCCGCTGGGTCTTGAAATGTCTTAAAAGGTGATAAATCGGTTTTGGTCAAATTAAGACCCTTAGAAAGTATTAAAAACTATTATCACATCTTTGCTCAGGCTCAGCTTGTCTAAAGTATTTTCTCTGAATTAGCTCTCCAACAGTCAAGGAAATGATTAACCCCCAGAGACCCACGGTTGTAATATTACAACATCAGATTTAAGTCTACAAAAATAAACCTTCCCCATTTTTTTCTTTTTAAAACCACATTTACATTGCTAATAGGTCCTATTGTTCAGTTCTGCAACACTATTGGCTGTTAAAATGTGTAAATAGGCCCATTTATCTGGCCTCCTAGAACAACATGTGAAAGGTTAAAAAAAGATTTTGCAGTTGTTTTCTAAATTTGGGTCTCTGGGGGTTAAAAAGCTAAATAAAACGTCGAGCTCCATCGTTTAAAGTTCCTTCTCCCTTCTGCCCAGCGGTTCCACGGTTGCTAGGCGACGGAACGTTCGCGGAGGGAGTTCATGAAGGCTAGGCCTGTCCAAATTCACAGCCGTTAACATCCGGTCTACCCGGCCGACGGAGGACCCAGCCCACGTCGGCCGGGTGGGCTGGGTCCTTCGAAGGATGCAGACCCTGAATTGAGACACAGCCACAGTCAAGAGGGAAGGGGCAGATCGTGACATGTACATTTCTGAGAAATAATAAACTTAAGTTAGTTTCACTTTTACTCAATTTTAATTTGAAGACAATGTCACTCTACATAAACTTCCTACAGCTCTGACGCTCCTTCCTAACCACCAATGCTGTTCAGAAACATTGTTTTCTATTTTAGTAACTTTAGCCGTTGTTTGTAGACTGTTAGTAATGCTAAGTATAGTTATTGATCGTATTGAAGTTTACCAAAGAATGATCGGACATCAAAACTGCATTTATAAGAGACTGGTTTCTCTTGTCTAACACCATGATCTGTTTTTTTAATATGCAAAAATATGAATTGTGTTAATTAAGAGCAATATTTCAGACCCTGAATGAGTTGAACTAATTTTATTGAGCGGAGAACCTCTCACACCAGTGATGTTCTGTGGCTAAATACGTAAGTATGTAATGAGTGGAGGAGCCAGGGAAGTGCAGCGGTTCAGTGAGACCTTCAACTGGATGGTCCAATAGTTGCTTTAGGTCCGAAACATGTTATTGATGGACATTTTTAGACATATGCGAGAGAGCCACTTCATTTATTTCTTTTGTCTTCACAAAATAATGTTGTTGTTGAGAGGCATTAAAATGTGTTAAGCTAATTTGTTTTCCAGACTTGCTATTGCAGCACATAAACTCCATTTGTAATTAAGGTCAGACATTTTGTTTTTTCATAGTCCTATAGCAATTTTGAACTTGCCATTAAAGAAATTTAAGACAAAATCCCTGTATTTTCATATATAACCTGTAACTGAAGTGAAGAGAGGGCTGCACAGTGCTGCAGTGGTTAGCACTGTTGCCTTGCAGCAAGGAGGCCCTGGGTTTGCATCCCAACCTGGGGTCTCTCTGTATGGAGTTTGCACGTTCTCCCAAGTGTGGATTATCTCTTGGTACTCTGGCTTCCTACCACAGTCCAAAAACTGCCCTTAAGGGTGAGTGTGTGATTGTTTGTCCTGTGTATCTCTGTGTTGCCCTGTGATGGACTGGCAATCTGTCCAGGGTGTACCCCGCCTGTTTGCCCAATGACAGCTGGAGATGGGCACTAGCCCCTCACAACCCTGCATGGATAAGCAGGTACAGACAATGGATGGATGAAGTGATGAGATCAACAGAAAATACAAAGTTCTTCTGATTGGCTGGTTGAGGTCACTGTGGCAACCACTTGTGGCCCGTTAAAGCTGCCATGATAATCACCATTGTTTCATTAGGGTCATTATGGTAATTACCAGTGGTACATGAACATTGCCTTGGTAACCACCAGTGGCTTTTTGAAGTCTAATGTTAAGAGTTTATGTGGAAACTGTTTGCAGTTTTTGTGCAAATTTCATCTATTGTAATGTAGAGCTACCAAAGGTCATAGCACGTAATTCCCAATGGAGATACTTGTTTTGCATGAGATATTCAAAAGCTGCAGAAGGATAAGCTAACTAGAGATCTTGAAAAAACAACAACAACTAAATAATGCCATGAGGCAAAATGGGTAAGAATGACTTCATTCAATAATTTACGATTGCAATCTATGGAATTTATTGAAAACACACATCTAAGGCTGTATGTTGCCCTTAAACCCAGATCAGTTCTAACATGCCAGTCCTAGACATGTCTACTGCCCTCTGGTGGAAGATGGTGGAAGGGGCCAATTTTCTTTTCTTCATTACTGTTACATTATTTCATAATTACGTAATAAAACAAAACTCATCGTTGTGATTGTTATACAACCATTAGAAAAATCTATAATTCATTATTGTTTCATATTTCAGGTTTCAAGGGGTTGAAAAGAAAACATCATTAAAGTGCTTCAGACTCTGATGGTATTAATCTTTTTTAAGTTTACAGCCACTTTTAAACATGCTCTGAAGTTCTGAAACAGATGTTGGAACAAAGTAAGGTCCCAATGCAGAAAGCAGGCACTCACCCCCACCCATTCTCATCATACTGTAGAGAGCACACGGCCAGCGATCTGCTCAGAGCGAGTACAGTACAGTCTTGTTTAGATTACTTTGTTGCCTTTTGATTCGTGTGTGTATGAGAACAGTCCCCAAATCATTCCAACTCTTTGTGTTTCTCCTTTCTGTTTACTCCCGCTGCCTGTTTCACAAAGGCAACCATTGTTCCTGAGAGAATTTCAATTTGGTGGAAATTGAAAGCAGGTGTGGCTCTGCCACTTCATCTGAGAGGAGAAGGTGATGGGTAGGTTGGGGGTATGGACTTCTCTCCATTTGTGACTTGAATTCTCAACTCAGGAAATTGTCATGTAGACCATTTTTGCTAGTTTTTCTTTAGCTTCAATACAATTATCTGACTCAAAAATGGCCTCAGTGTCTAACTTTATACTAAAACCACGTTTTCCTGGGCCTTGGAGAGGAATACGACTCAAAATGGACAACTCACGGGCTACAGAGATTGTGTCAAATTACCTCATAAAGTCAAACGATACTGTACATCTGTGTTCCAACATGACCTGCATTGTTTTTCCAAACCATTCTCTCAATTCATGCAGAAAGACTTCCCTCTTACTGAGCAATAAATGGAACCATATGTGGGCTTTTGGATTAGAAGAGGCTAGTTGGCTTTAAATATGAGAATGAAGATAGATGTTTGTGTTCGTTTTTGTGTGGTTTTGCTTGTCTGGGATTCAGTTCCAGATGGAGCAGCTCAAAATCCCCCCCCCCACCATGTCTATTTTAAAGAGACTTTTCAAGTTTGATTAGATTCTTAATCGAAGGAGACTGAAATATGTTTGTCTTTGATTTCTAGAAGAACAGCATTGGTTGAACATGGTTTCTAAACGTTTAAGCATCTCAATTACGGTCCCATGGCATGTTACCTCGACTATGAACATCAGTCAATATATAACATCACATAAATATTAAAGGATGGACATTTTTTTTTATTTATGGAGATAGATCTTAGGGCGGTGTGTCAAATTTCAGGATTTCATGAAAAAAATGTGGGTGAAAACTACAAACTACAACATTATTTTGCTAAATCTTTTGTAAATTTACCTAAACATTGTGTTGTTACGGTGCTAGTTGATGAGGCATAAATACAAGTTAGAGTTTTGATTAATTTTGGAGGAGTTAGCCAATTAAAAGGAACCTGTATACCATACCATTTTGGCGCTTTCAACACAGTATTTACAGCTGACCAAAACGCTGCACGGTTAATAAAAATAAATAATTACATAGACAGTATAGTTAAAAGAAAGGACTAAAAATCAAACCAAACAGGCAATTTTAAAATTAGGCAAATGTCGTCATCGTCTTCCTCTGCTTATCCGGGTCCGGGTCGCGGGGGCAGCATCCTGACTAGGGAGCTCCAGACCGTCCTTTCCCCCGCCACCTCCACCAGCTCCTCCGGCAGGACCCCAAGGCGTTCCCGGACCAGATTGGAGATGTAACCTCTCCAACGTGTCCTGGGTCGACCCGAGGGCCTCCTGCCAGCAGGACATGCCCGAAACACCTCCCCAGGGAGGCATCCAGGAGGCATCCTGACCAGATGCCCAAACCACCTCAACTGACTCCTTTCGATCCGGAGGAGCAGCGGTTCTACTCTGAGTCCCTCCCGAATGTCCGATCTCCTCACCCTATCTCTAAGGCTGAGCCTGGCCACCCTACGGACGAAACTCATTTCGGCCGCTTGTATCCGCGAAATTAGGCAATCAAGATAGAAAAGATACAAATCTATCGACTTAATATTAAAGCCAGGTTTAAATAGAAAGGACAAAAAAAACAACAACAGGCAATTAGAACCATAAAAAAACATACATTTAACAATAAGCAAATGGGTTGGAGGAAAACCTATATATATCAAACCAGGTTTGAGAGTTTAAAGCCAAGAAGACGTGGGGTTTCAGACAAGATTTAAATGCAGAGATTGAAGGAGCTTGACTAACCTGGAGAGGTAGGAAGTTTCAGAGTTTTGGTGCACATGTGAGAAGGCCCTTTCACCTGGGGTCTTGCAACGCACCTTAGAAACATTAAAGAGGAGCTGTCCCTCAGACCTGAGGGCACAATGTACGGTAAATGTTGTAGGGAACACACACTTCATATGAATTCAGACAGAGTCAAGGATGTAGCTTATAAAAATGAATTTAATCCTATCCTTCTAAACTAATGATTATACAAGACAAAGCATGAATGAAATGATGAAATGTAAGCTAGATGTTTGTAGCAAAACCTTATTAAGTATCTGAGAGATCTTGTGATGTCTGGGTTGTAAAGTCGGTTTGACTGTGTGGTTTAATAACCTAGAGATTATTCAGAAAAGCATCCTACGCCATTGTGAAAATTTATGTACCCTTTGTGTTGAAGGCCCTTGTGCAATCCAGGGGGTCAAGAGGTCGGTATGGACACTGCCGGTAGAGTGGAACTCTGGCTAACGAAACCCATAGATCAGCTCCGAGTACAACCAGTCTGCTCTGAGGTACCTCCTAGGTGACAGCTGGCGTATCTATTTTGCATTTAATACACTTTCATGCAGTGTTGGGAGAGTTTGTTTAAAAAATGAACTAGTTCAAAGTTCAGTTCCTACATTTTAAAATGAACTTTTTACAGTTTTTCTGAATGAACTTTGACTCCTGCACACAGCGTAGACAAAGAGTAGATGCCGCACCGACCGCTACTGCCCATGTTTGGCCGCATTTGCGGGTTCTACGTTTTATAAACTCTATGGTTGACAGGATGTTTTATGTTTATGTATTTAGCAGACGCTTTTGTCCAAAGCAACTTGCAAATGAAGTTTTAGCTAGGGTATAAATCCGGAAAAGCTCCATGGAGATCTGGAGCTAGAACAGCGAAAGAACGCGTTCATAAACCAGTTCACGCATGCCAGGACAAATGCACTCACTTTTACGTTCGTCAGGCAAAATTCGAACGAGTTCAGTTCACGTTTGCGAAAAAAAAACAACTAACAAATTCACGAACGATCGTTCAATGAACGCGTTTGGGCACAACACTGCTCGCTAGAGCACATTGACTCATTCAGTTGTTGACCTGGCCAGGCTAAGATCACCCGATCAAAGGCAGGGGGTAGGGTGGGGTTCACAGCATCTGTCTGCATTCCATCGTGGAGTTTTTTTTTTTTTTCTTTTTGCAGCTCAAGGCCACCAGGGCACGATTTACATAAGCATTGTTTTGGGGCAGTCAGAGGTAATTTCCTTTCTGCCTTTAAGATTTAACTGATCATTCATTCTTTCAGCAAATCCAATTATTAGCTTTAAACTTGTCCATACCGTGCAGTGACTTTCTTCAAGATCACATCCATTTTGCGCACTAACACCAGGATTGCAACTAGGACCTGTAGCTTGCAATTTACCTAAAGCAGCTGTCATGGCGGGGGTTAAGCGTCTGACCCACGACATGCAGAATCAAACCAGGAGACCGAGTGGATAAGTTATGAACAGAATTTTATTAATCTTGAGTAGGGGACTGAAGGTTCAGCTAAAACGATGAGCAGGAATGGGAAACTGAAAGTGCTGCCAGGTGAGCAGGGGAATCCTCTGTTCTCTGTCTAGGAGTGGGTGAGACAATCAGGAGAAACAGAAAAGGAAACTGGGCTTACAGTTTCCAAGGTGGGAGTAGATCCTGAACGGGGAGGGTAGCGGTCATGAGCTGGGGTACTGGAGGAGTGGAGGGAGCTGAGCGCGGCGTGAAGAGTTGCTGAGGTTTCCCACGGGCAGGTGGGGAAAGGCGAGGCTGAGGGACAGGTGAGCGGCTGGGGGTTGCTGTCCAGGGGAACGACAGTGAGATGTGGTTCCAGGAGATGAGCGATTCAGGGTTGAGTTTGTGGTGAGGAAGGTGAGGTATCCGGAAGTCAGGGAGAAACAAGACAAAATGAGAACAAGGAATATATACTGAGGCTATGACAAGATACAATACTAAGAGGCATGAGTCGAACCCAGCACGAGTTGGGTACCGGTGCGAGTAATCATCCAGCGTTGAATGAGTGTCCCACTGCAGCTTTTATCTCCTGGTCAGCCTGATGAGAAATCAGCTGCAGCTGAGGACTCCCAGTCACACTCACCTGCAATCAAGAGCACAGGGAGACAGACAAGCGTGCAGTGAGGCTCACAGCCCGTGACAGCAGCGTCCCAGTCTGTCTGAGCAGTCTCCACACTGCTGAGGCTTTCCCTGGGCACAGGTGGCACTCCAATTTCCCACCACTTCCCAATATTCCAAAATACAGGTGGACAGCAGTAGCTCAGGAGGTAATCGGAAGGTTGCGCGTTCAATACTGGCTCCGACCAGAGAATTCTGCTGTTGTGTCCTTGGGCTAGACACTTAACCCACCTTGCCTGCTGGTGGTGGTCGGAGGGACCGTGGCGCCTGTGCTCGGCAGCCTTGCTTCTGTCAGTTTGCCCCAGGACAGCTGTGGCTACATCGTAGCCCATCACCATCAGTGTGTGAATGTGTGTGTGAATGGGTGAATGACTGATTGTGTTGTGAAG